CGGGGCAAAGGGGAAAGGGGAGGATGGGGCGGGGACTCGTGACCCCTCACCCAGTCGCGGCCCCCAGCTCCGGCGTCTCATTGGCTTTGGGCGCGGGAGGCGGGGCGGAGGCCGCCTCCTCCGGGGCCGCGCCGATTGGCCACGCACCCTGCAGTGCCGTCACTGGCGACTCGCGGCGGGCTGCCCGGCTGGTCGCGGGCGATGTGGGGCGGGGACTCTGCCGGCCAGCTGGGGCCTGGGGTGACGTCGGGAGGGTGGCGGGAGGGAGGGGCTGGCTGGCGCGCCGCGCCGCGCGGAAGGGCGTGAGGTTCGGCTGGGGAGGTGGGGCCAGCTCCAGAGCGCGGGAGATTTCGGCGCCGCGGGCTGGCCGGCTTCCTCGGCTGCCGCCCGCCACCCTCTCCCTGCGGCCCGCGGAGCTTCCCCCAACTCCAGCCCCCGCAGTCTCTAGGACCGTAAACCCCCACCCCCCAGGGAGGAGCTCCTTTGAAACCCACTTCCCACTCAATTCCACCCCCGGGTTTACAGACTTCTCTATCTGTCAGACCCTCCGACCTCCCCCAGGGCTGTGACTCAGGCCACCCCTTGCTCCAGCCGCGCTCACCAGTGACTCACACCTTCGGCTTGTCCGGGAGAGGTGTTACTCAGCCCTGGGCTCTCCCGCCAGGCCTCCCTCCCCTGCCCTCCTCTGCCCTCCCCAGCCCAGGGTCGTCCTGAGTTGTACACGTAGCACACAGGCCTCCATCCCCTCCCCACCCAGGATCCCAGACTTTTCCCTTGAATTCCTTGTTTTGGGGTCCCGTTCTTTCAATGATTGGGAGAAGCTAAGACAGATCACCCCTCCCTAACGGAATCCTGGTTTGTAGGGCTCATCTAAATGCTTAAATGATTCCTGCCGGTACTGCGGGACCCAGAGACCTGATTTCAATTGCATAGACAATACACCCAATCTTTCTTCGCTACTGGAGCTGCCAAATGGGAGAGGGCAGTGTTCAAATCAAAGGGCACTTCTGTTGAGCCCCTACTGTGTCCAATGGTTTGGGCTAAGGGTGACAGTGGAGAAAATAATTCATCATCTTTGCTTCAAAAGGACACTGGTAGGGAGGAGATTCCACGTTGGGTGAGATGGACCACACTTCTGGCAGCCCGAAGGGAATTTAATTTCCTGTTGACTACTCGGAAGTTGTGTTCTCTGGAAGTCTACTTAAAACATTTGCTTTAAAGGGAATGATTTTAAACCTTGGCTGTATATTAGAATCCCAGCCACTGCGTCCAGAATCTCTGCGCTGAGGCCCCGGGATCGCTATGCAATTGTGATTGCCAGCTAAGATCTTTTAAAGGATTCTGATTCGTGGAGAAAAAAACTCCCTTAGAAAGTTTTAGCTGTGATAGTGATAAGAGTTCTCTACAAGAGGTCTGCAGACCTATCTTTGAAGAATTGATGCTCCTTAGATGTGACAATTTGTTGTTCTTATGACACATTATTTCTTTAAAGATAGAACATCACGTACATTAATTTGGGACAGGTTTTTGTTTTTGTTTTTGCTTGTTTTGTATGTATGTATGTCAGCAGTGGTCATGTCTGGATTCTGGGAGGCTTTTTCCTCACCCAAGGTTATTAAGATTTGGGGAATTACTTATCCAGCCTATTTTATGACTATGTTACCAGTGAAATAAGATGAATTGCCTGGAGGCTTGCTTAGGGTAAGTCCTGATCTCCAGTTACTTTATAACACTTGCTGTGGTATGTGTTTTATTGGCAATGACTCTGTAGATTACATACATTTGTTTAATAATTACTAAATAATAGAAATTACAACGTATGTGTCAAGATAGGGAGCTTGTTTTAATTTTTAAAATTACTTATTTTTTTAGAGAGATTAAGTATGAGAGCTATCAGAGGAGAGGGGCAGAGAGAGAAAGAGAGAGAGAGAGAGAATGTGTGTGTGTGTGTGTGTGTGGGTGTGTGTGTGTGTATGAGCCGAGAAGGGGCAAAGAGACAGAGGGAGAGAGAATCCCAAGCAGGCTCCGCACTGTTAGTGCAGAGCCGAGCTCTATCCCACCAACTGTGAGATCATGACCAGAGCGGAAAACAAGAGTTGGATGCTCAACCAACTGAGCTTCCCAGGTGCCCGAGAGAGCTTGATTTTTTGGTGAGGCAAAGCACATACTTATTCAGACTACAAATAAAACAAGTCAGTGTTAGTTGTGACATCAACTGCTACAATATGAAATGTCAGCCCAGCTTTATTTTAATATTCTAAGTAAGAAGGAAGGAGATTTTTATGGGCAATGAAAAAAGAGATCCCCAAATGGGAGAAATTCCTGTAAACTTGGGGTGGATATCAGCCGTTCTGACAACGGAGACCAGTTCTTGTGTCCAGGAAACCTCCTAAGTGGGGACTGCATTTTCAACAGCAGGCCTGCCAGTTTAGAGAGTTTGTAATGCTCAGCCTTCAGGGAATGTATTGCACTTAGAAACCTATTTCCCATGGAGAGAGTCCTATTTGTTTTATGAACATAATCTCCCCCTGGGAAAATAGCTCAGATATTGTATTATGGCAGTCCATAAGAATATAGGTTTATTTCCCAAGGAGATCAGATGGTAGAAGGTAAAGAACCTTGAACTTGAGTGGATGTGGGTCTTTAGTATCTTACTAATGTGAACTTGAGTGAGCACTTAATGTCTTTAAGCCTCAATCTCTCATTATAAAATGGAATAATAATGGCTGTTAAAGTATGCTATTATTAATCAGAAAAGTTCTGACATTAAATTATAATTGGAAATGAAATGGAGGGGTAGAACGAAGTCTTGCTCACTCCCAATTAGCCGCCATTGCTTTGGGCCAGTCAACTGTGAACAGCCAGCTCCTGATGCCTTTCACTTCAGCTTATTAGACCTGACCCTACCTCCATTAAGTTCTGGAGGCATATTTGCTCAGAGCATTTATAACCCCTTGTGTAAAAGGGTGAGGTTGGGAAAATGGAAGGCTGGAAGTTTCTCTCAACTGAGACTTGAAATCTAGGCAATTTAGGATTCTTGATGTTTGTCAGAAGGTACTGCACAGCCTGGCCATGCCCTCTTTATAATAATACAGGAGGCCAGACTCCTTAACAAGAGAGCAGCAGAATCTTCCTTGGGTACTGCTCTTTATTTTATAGGTTTTGTGTTGATGGGAGTGGCTGGAGAAGTTAGGCTTATAAAACCCCTGCGAAAGCTTCTTTCAGCTGGGGTAGAATTTGGTCTTGTCTGTCATTTCTGGTTTATTGGGTTCTGAATGTAAATAAGATTCTCCCGAGTGAACAATCTGTAAATTTTTAAAAGTTGCCCCAGGACTCCCAACATAACTTCCACTACCTGTCCTGGTAGTGGTAAGCACAGGTGCTCTCTACAGCACAACTTATTTTGAGGGGCAGTTTAAATAATAGAAGTGAAAGTATTATAATCTATAACTACACAGATATAAGCAGATGGTATTATTTACAGGTGTTTGTATTAATAGTTAACATGGTATGACATAACAAGTTGTCTTTGTTTCCTCATCTGTAAAAGGGGAATAATACTTCTTCATAGGGGTGTTGTAGAAAGTAGGATAATATTTGTAAATGCACATAGCATGGGGTCTGCAGACACCGTAGCACTCAATAGTTATCAGCTATTATTGGTTAGATGGATTCTAGGGTTAAATAAGAAATAGGCCTCAGACAGGTGACTACTCTTAAAGCTACATGTGATATAGATGTATGCATCGCGTTTGTGTGTGTAATAAAGTGTATTTGTATATTTTCTATTAGTCTCCCTCCCAATTATGCAGAGCAAAATGGTATGTTGATGGATTAAGGATGGTTAACAAGCATTTGGCTGATAAATAAAATTTCTAATGCTTTCTAATATCGATGCTCTTTGTTGCTTAGGTAAGAGCCAGCAGAAAAGATGAGACCTGTTGAGGAAAGTTGTCTGCTGAAAAGAAAATGCTAAGCTGTTTCCATTTCTCCAGCTGCCTTTTATCAAGATTTTTAAGCCCCTGTCTGAAGCAGTCTGTTACAGTCAGAGCATGCAGGCCAGGGGCAAGTGAAACCTTGTATTCCCAAAGGGCACTAAACACACTAGTCAGCAAACTGTGGAATTGAACACAGGCAGGGGAAATTTGGATTCGGTTAGTTTCTTTTGCCCTCTTTCTCTCATAGTTTTATATATGAAATTCACTGAATGTCAGCTGGTGGTTGGATACATTTGAAGGACGTATAGAGTTTGGAGGCTTAGGAGCAGAGGCTCCAAGAGCCAGCCAGAATGAGACTTCAAATTATGACTTCACAACTTACATGCTGTGATCTTGCCCAAGTTATTTAACCTTTCTCAGCCCCAGTTTCCTCTTCTGTGAAATGGAAATAACAGTAGTACCTTCCACCATGCATCAAAATACCTGGCATAGTGCTGGCACAGAGTAAATGCTTAATAAAGTTAGCTGTACTTATTGATGCAGATCAAAACCTCCAAGATTTGTTAGTTTGGATTGCACACCTACTTGTTAGGTTATTACATTTTTATACTCCTATTATATAAGCAGTCATGTTATAGCAATGTATAATGTTAAGGAAAAAAAATTTACGGGGCGCTCAGGTGGCTCAGTCGGTTAAGCATCTGACTTCGGCTCAGGTCATGATGATCATAGAGCATTTTAAGGTCATTTTCACTTTTAAATGCTACAGTTCTCTGTCCGAGTGGTAGCCACTAGCCATTGTGGCTATCAGTCACTTGAAATGTGGCTAGTTTGAAATTAGGTGTGCTTTAAGTGTAAGGTGCAAACTAAACTTCAGAGCCTTGGAAGAAAATGACGAGTAACAATTTTATATTGGTCACATGTAGAAATGACAACATATTGGGTTAAATAAAATATGTTAATTATACTTATTAATAAATGATAATTATTAATTATATTAATTTTCCTGTTTTTACTTTTTAAAATATGGTTGCTAGAAACCTTAAAATTACATATATGGGGGCGGGCGTCTGACTGGCTCAGTCGGTTATGTGTCTAAGTCTTGATTTTGGCTCAGGTCACGATCTCAGGGTTCATGAGTTTGAGCCCTACTCGGGCTCTGTGCTGACAGCGTGGAGCCTGTTTGGGATTTTGTCTCTCCCTCTCTCTGCCCCTCCTCCACTTGCATGTGTGCTCTCTCTCTCTCTCTCAAATAAACATTTAACAAATTTACAAATATGACTGGCATTTGTGGTTCACATGATATTTCTATTGAACACTGCTTTGCTTGGGAGCAAAATAACCAACTAGTTACACACAAGTGTGCTACGTAGTTTGTTGATTTATATTCAGGAAATGACTTGTCACAAAGTGAGGATCAGTTACCTTATAGTGCTTTCTGTTGCTCCCAGTTTTCTGACTTGATTCTCAGGGATCTGGAGACATGGTGCAGTACTTCCTGAGCAGTGTTTCTTGCTTAGGAATGTCCTTTCCCTGCTGGTTTGACATTGAACACATTTGTGAGCCTTTAGAAGGTAAGGAAGTCTCAAGATTTGATCCCCTAGAATAAATCCTTATAAGTTAAGTCAAGAACTGATGAAGAGCTGGAGGAACGAAGAATATCTTTTATTTTTTTAATGTTGATTATTTTCATTTAAATGTGAATGGGTTTTAAAAACCATCATTTGCTGCCTTTTAACACCTGAAATAAAAATATACTTAGCAGAAGAATTTAGTGTTAAGTGTATTTTTTTCCTTAGAACACAAATAGGTTGAAAATGAAAGGATGGAAAAAGATATGCCATCCAAAAGAGAGCCAAAATGGCTATACTGCTATCAGACAAAATAGATTTTAAAATAAAATTATCAGAGACGAAGAAGGATATTTTATTAGGATAAAAGGGTCAATCAGGTAGACACAAAAATCATAAACGCATGTATCCATCAACAGAGCCCCAAAATACATGAAGCAAAACTTGACAGAATTG